AAAGAAAAAAAAATTCATGTTACTTTATTATCTCTTTTGCGATTGTAAACTCTGGCCACTTGTTTGAAATATATATATATAGGTCTGAAGTAAGCAAACCTTTCACGAAAGAGGAGAAAGACAATAAGATAGCTATTGTTCAGCATAATTCTTTTGTTTTGTTGTCGATCTTGATGATAATGAGAACGCTACATTGTGCTGAAATTATATTTCATAATGCAACTGCTATAAATACTAATTGACAGGAGAAATGTAGTTATGAGCCTTTATAAAATTACCTAAGCAACAAAGAAATATTTTCTGCATTAGCCTTCGCCGTCGTTGAGAGTGGGAAACGCGCATGGAAAGAAGCAGTTCCCCAGTGGGACAGTGATAAGTTTACTGATTTACAACGCTAAAATCCGGGGTTGGATTCCCGAAGGTGAACACAGCAGTGTGGCTTTGCTCTAAAACAAACAAGCAAACTGTATTAACCAGTTTAAATTCTTAGCATCATCTGGATGGAGTTATTTAAAGTCTAATTTTATGTTTATTGATAATCTTATTGCTTTTGAGGATCATAATTGTTATTATTTATATACTGTAGACAATGGGCTGGCGTTTCTAAGAGTAGGAAAAGGTTGTTAATTTTTAATTGCAACGTAACACAATAGGCTATCAATGATGTAATCAGTAAGGGTATAGAAACCCGGTTTTTAGTATTATAAGTCTACATACTAACCGCTGAGCCACTGAAGATAAGGTGGCATAAGGGTCAAAGAATTAGTTTTTGGAGAATCAGAAGGAAAGGCATATAAAAAATTGAACACTTTCATGTCGGTAGGAGTCACTAAATCCTGATATCTCAGATGTGAGGCCTACTGGGAGTCAAAGCTCTCCAATAGGGTTTGCCTCCCACGCTACCCCGGCGAACACACCCATATTTATAAATATCAAAAAATCCATTGTAAGCTGATTGTTTCGTCTTACTAATCCTTTACTACGATACTTGAATTAGTTACGTAGCCAAACGTCACACAACCAATTTTATAAAGTTAATGTTTAGATATTCATATTCCTTAGCCTTTCTTAGCGATATATTTCTGCTGAACTAATTTTAAATCTGGCTGTAAATTCGGTATTGATTTCACAGAAGTTGCCACACGATTTCATATTTACTTGCCCACGTGTACGCAGCATTGGAAATTATCGTGTAATCTGCAAACAATATCTTCTCAGTAGAGCAGTTTCGGGTTATTTTGAAAATTATTCAGTGCAGCTAAGTTGTTGATAGGTCACGCAACCCACTGGAGTATTGAATTGTTTATCTTTGAGGAAAAGACACCTACCCACAACAACTTTTATGAAGCCCGTGGCCTCTTTTGCTGAAATATCAGAGCAGTTAATATTGGAATTCGTTCTATTGTTTTCTAAAAGCCCACTGTGTTGAACACATTTGCGTTGTATTTGAAATTTACTAATCTCACATCCTACATTGTCTTTACACAATTTCTTAATCTAATTTTATATTAATTGTCATAGTTGGTTGTGGTTGTAGAATATAGTCATATCCTATGTGTTAGTTTGTAAAACGTGTAGCACACGTAACTCACAATTACTCAAAGCTATTGGAAAAGTCCGAGCGTACAATTGAATTAAGTATTGTTTACTCAACTAAAGGAGAAACCCTGACAGCTTTATTGTTGAAATATATTATTGCTTTCTACTTTTTCCTACTTATAAGTGATTTTAGTTTTCTTTTAAAAAAAACACCTAAGATTCAAGAAATAAAAACAATGAAAGAATAAAACGTCTGTGTATTAAAAAACTTGAAAAGAAATCAAAGAAACATTGTTTATCAAAAAAAGGCTCGTGCAACGTTCCGGCACGTTCTACAAAAGCCACTATGTAGAGACGAACAAAAAAAGCAAAAACATGGTATTTCTACATGTGCCTTTTAAATAAGATGGTCAAAAGGGGAAAAAATGTGGGAGTAGTGTGTATAAAGAGAAAAAAAACTATACACGTTCTCTAGAGGATAACTGTGAAAAGATCACTCATATGTACATTCACATTTTATGTCAGTTACATAGGAAACATTAGCGCTGTAGCTGAATCGGCTGGCTAGTTTCTCAAGGAACTCTGGGCTAAACATGGACACCTGAAATACCTGAACTAACACAAGAACCATAGCAGACATACGAAATGTGTTAACTTCAGGTCACGTGTTAACAATACATTAGCAAGTTATTTTGAAAATCAACTATAAAATACCATCTTACGTTCTACACTGTTATCTTTTTACGTTCTATACTGAGATATTTCTTACGTTCTATACTGTTATCTTTCTTACGTTCTATACTGTTATCTTTCTTACGTTCTATACTGTTATCTTTTTTACGTTCTATACTGTTATCTTTCTTACGTTCTATACTGTATTTCTTACGTTCTATACTGTTATCTTTCTTACGTTCTATACTGTTATCTTTCTTACGTTCTATACTGTTATCTTTCTTACGTTCTATACTGAGGTATTTCTTACGTTCTATACTGTTATATTTCTTACATTCTATACTGTTATCTTTTTTACGTTCTATACTGTTATCTTTCTTACGTTCTATACTGACATATTTCTTAAGTTCTATACTGTTATCTTTCTTACATTCTATACTGTTATCTTTCTTTTTGCTCGTGATTTTGGCGAAACTCGTAGTCTTTCATTCACGTCTAAATTAAAGAACGATTAGTTTAGTAACGATATCACATCTTTGGATACACTCGCTTTCATCACTTTGCGCTGGGTTGATACTTATCGCCCAGTAACAAAGCTCATGAAGGTGGTTGGTTTATAACAACGTATACTTTCACTTATGAACAGAGGGGTTAAAAAGTCACACCAAGAACCATGAGCTATAATGTGGGCCCTATACTTTCATCAGTTGTAATGTGTTTAGTGGGCTCTATACTTTCATGAGTTCTAATGTGTTTAATGGGCTCTATACTTTCATCAGTTGTAATGTGTTTAATGGGCTCTATACTTTTATGAGTTGTAATGTGTTTAGTGGGCTCTATAGTTTCATCAGTTGTAATGTGTTTAGTGGGCTCTATACTTTCATCAGTTGTAATGTGTTTAGTGGACTCTATACTTTCATCAGTTGTAATGTGTTTAGTGGGCTCTATACTTTCATCAGTTGTAATGTGTTTAGTGGGCTCTATACTTTCATAAGTTGTAATGTGTTTAGTGGGATCTATACTTTCATCAGTTGTAATGTGTTTAATGGGCTCTATACTTTCATGAGTTGTAGTGTGTTTAGTGAGCTCTATACTTTCATGAATTGTAATGTGTTTAGTGGGCTCTATACTATCATGAATTGTAATGTGTTTAGTGGGCTCTATACTTTCATGAATTGTAATGTGTTTAATGGACTCTATACTTTCATTAGTTGTAATATTTTTGGTTAGCTCTATACTTTTAAGAATTCTTGTCATTTAGTTGCGACTTTTAATTAGCGTAGTGTATATGTTTTTATAGCAAAGCTATTAAGGCTGCCTGCCACTGTCTCTAATTTTGAGCTACTGAACACTGGGAAGGCAACCAGTCAGCAGCACCCTACCACCTATATTAGTTGACTGACTGTCACTCTTATAACCTACATACAGCTTAAAGTTCGGGGAATATTTTATTAGTTCGCACGTATCTGAACCATTCTCGTCATCCTAAAATCCAGAGCTCTACCACAGAGCGGCGTCCTAGTTAATTTACAAACAGAACTGTTGATTAACTGTTATTTTAGATTGGAATGTTTGTAGTTTTATACACTGGAGTATGAAAAAATACTACTAATTCAAAGTGTCCCAGTATAAACTGTAAATATTCAGTCTTTATCAAATGGTATTTATATTGACTAATTAACGTTTGAATATGAAATGAAAATATTGAGAAAACGTGTTATAATAAATATTTCAGTTGGCATCCACAGACTAATATCTATTTTAAAACAGCCTTAATTTGAACTTTTGGTGTCGAGGAATTCATTCAATCAAGAACTGTCTGTTTGAAATGTTAAGATTCAGAAAGTATCTTAATGTCTGTTTTTTGCATGCGAAGATTAATTAGAATATATAGAATAACAGCTTATAATATTGGAATTTAAAAAGGTTTCTTTTTTTGTTTATTTCAGAGCAAAGTCACATTGCGATATCTGCCGTGTCCACCGAGGATAATCGATCCCCGGCTTTAAGTGTTTTAAGTCCGTAAACTGTCAACTGTCCCACCAGGGAATTGGAGCTTAAGACTATTTTTCATCAAGTAACGTCACAGTTTAAAACTATTATCTAGAGATTAAACTTGATTGACAGGTGTCTTAATGATAAATGTATATGTCCACAGGTTGAAGATTATTTTAGTTCGTAGCTATAGAAACTACATAATGATGGTAGAAAAAAGTCGTATATTATTGATTGAGATGTTGGGGCGACTCGGAGTTATTTTAACTTAAGAAGTATCGAAATATTCGTTTTTAATAATTAATACACGTCAAGAACTTGAATCATATAACATATACTGTAGTTTAATTTCACGATGAAAGAGATGAATCCACACTTTGCAAATATAGATAGATAAAGAGACTGATTGTGAGAAGCCCCAGCAGAATCGTTAAATTCTGTTTAAAAGTTACGAATATGTACACCTGTTTGCGCACATTTTAAACAGTTATACATATATATTTGTATTTTTCAATCATATGTGCACTTATTTGTTTTTGTCGTACCATACCAACTCAGTGATGTTATCAGGTTCTTGAACTGGGTTTGTGGCCTGAACCGGCTAGTTGTGCAGCAGAAATGGACCCAACCTGGCATTTGTACTCACTGCCATTACTCAGCTGCGTTGAAACATTCTACTATTATTTTACCTGAAGGGAGACAATAACACAAGTGGTTATTTGTGTTTGCCAGTTGTCTAAAAATGGCACCAGTTGATCTTAAACACATGTTTCCCATAAAATAAATACATATAAAGTTTCATATATGTATAGCAACTTCAACACAGATAGGATGTTACAAACATACATCTTAAGCCGTAAGGAAAAAAGCCATAATTTAAGAAATAAATGAACATATCATTATTTTACTAAAGATATAAATCAGTACTAAGTTGTTTTAATAAGCCTTTATTTCAAATTAATAATACGTTATTGTTTTGCTGCATAAGTTAAATAGCCCTGGATTGAGGTTGTCACATTTTGACATAATGGTACAATTTGGTCGACGTATAATTCTTTAATGAAAACTCACTTTGACTAAAATTAGCTATTGTGTCACTAACAGCTCCTCTTTAGTTTTACATAAAAAAATTATGGTAAATTCTGCTTTTGTATTGATAGCATGGTTTACTATACGTTGAACTGCGAAATCTTTCTAGAATTTTGAAGGAAATTTATTCAAATTTTAATTGATGCTACTAAATTTTATATGCTTAATCGTACTTAGCTAAAAAAGGATTAATCTCATTTTATTTCACTTGCGATAATCTCTCAGAATTTACAGAAAACTATTGTTATTGCACCTATCATAGCTTAATGTAGTTTATTGTGACCCCTGATCCCAAAGAATAAAATAAGTCCAATGTGATAATAGTTATGTTTAATATAATTGATACTTGAAATCGACAGTACAAGTGAAATTCCATAATTACAGTGGTGGCGTTATAGTGTGACGGTCAATCCCTCTATTTGTTGGTAAAAGAGTAGCCCAAGAGTTGGCGGTGGGTGATGATGACTAGCTGCCTTCCTTCAAGTCTTTCACTGCTCAGTGAGGGACGGCTAGCACAGATATCCCTCGTGTAGCTTTGCGCGAAATACAAGACAAACCAAACCATAATTACAGAATTGAGAAAAAACAAGACAACTGTATGTTTCACGGATACATCATTTATTCACGACCATAGGTACCTGATGATGATGCCTTTATTGGCGAAACCATGGTCGTGAATAAATGCTGCATTTGTGAAACGAACAACTGTCTTGTTTTTACTCAATTCTGTAGTTATATGTAAGTTACTGTAAATATTTGTTTCTGTAATGGCAAGTAGTTTTGGTACACGATTTTTTATGGCAGTTGGTAAAAATTTCAGTTGCTGGAAGTTTTGGGGACAGATAATTGCAGAAGACGTCCATCATATCATTCAGTTCACTACACAACCGTGACCTTAGCATGAAGGTCAACGTCGTGACTGACCCCCTCGCCATTTGTGTTGAAATATTTTGCTGAAATTAACTTAGGGTTTAATTTCAATATCAACGTGCTGGTTTAGTCAAAAAAATTGTTTTTAGTTCGCTTTGTTTGGTGAACACATGAAACTAAACAGTTGAACGTCTTCCTCTGAATATATTAACAACAATAACTACGCTGTCTGTTTTACAAGGAGATAAGTTAAAAATATCAAGGTCAAGGCCACCTTACCTTTTTGTTCAGGTTGAATTCCTGTCTAAGATCCATTGATAAGAGTAATTTTGTTTTTATAGTCAGGCAAGCAACCAATCATAAATACAATAGAATGTTCGTTATTTACATAAATATTCATTTCCTGGCCACGGAAGAAAAACAGAGCCACACGGGGTAGTTAAATGATCCCATCTGAAAATGAGATTTGGTAAACTGATAACAAAGGTTTGTTAGTCAGGCTTTGTTGAATACCAGTGAGATAGGGACAACTTTCATTCTATGTCACCCACCAGTGGCACAGCGGTATGTCTACGGACTTACAACGCTAAATACCGGGTTTCGATACCCGTGGTGATCAGAGTATAGATAGCTCATTGTGTAGCTTTGTACTTAACTTCAAACAAACAAACAACCAATCTACGCCCGTGTTATGCAACAAAGTGTATTTAATATAGCAAAGTCTCTGAGATATAATTTCTGTTTTCGTCAGTTACAGTGGATAAGGTTAATGTTACAAAACATTACTTTCATGTTGTTTTAAACACAACCAACCACATGTTTTCCCTTATCCACTTTCTAGTGTTAATTGAAATACGAACACAGTTCCCCCTTATCCACTTTCTAGTGTTAATTGAAATACGAACACAGTTCCTCCTTATTCACTTTATATTATTAATTGAAAAACAAACACGTATTATTTTTCCTTATTCACTTTATATTGTTAACTGACTAAATGTTTGTTTGCTCTTCATACTTCTTATTTTTGTGTTCACTATTATTTGACATATTTAATGAAACCTTATCAATCAACTAGTCGTTATTTTAATTTACTTCAAGGCGAAGGCCGTCCAATCATATGAACAAACAAACATTCTTTATATCTGACTTGTATTTATATTCGTTGTTCTTTTCACGTTTTTAAAATACATTTATTTTTGCAGTTTACAAAGGGTTTTAGTTGCAAAATGTGTATTTGAATAATAAACTATCATTTCAGAACTGTACGTAATTTTCGAAAGCATTGTGAAATCAGAGGTAATATTTTGTATTACTATATTTTACTTTTCAGCAATATTACATATACATAGGTATTGAACATTTTGATATCTATTTAAATACTCTGTTAAATAACTCAGCGCTGAACAAATGCTATTAATAACAGAAAACATCTGGATCTTCAACTCATATGTTTTAACGCATGAAGAATAATATAAAATTACTTTACCATATAGACTGTATCAGTGTCGAGTAGCGACACCTATGACCTTGACCTTTTTTCTCCAAATATTTTATTTACTTCCAGAAGCTTTGTGTGTTTGTTTACATACTAAGTGCGATGTGTATTCGTAAAACTAAATGCGATGACTTTGCTAATAATTGATTCGTAATGATAATCAAATCAAATCCAGAAATACTGAACTCTGTCAATGGCTGCTTAAGCACTGCTAGTGGATAAGGGGTGTTGCAAAATAAATCACACTTTTTTCCCCCAAGAGCATAACAAAGTAAAATAAGATTTTAATTCAATCAAAAAGTAATTCTAAGTTTTAATCGATTTGCAAAAGATTTCAGCAATGCAACAAACATGTCTGTTTTTGTGGCTGTCTCCGTAAGCACATCAGTGAGAACACGAATCAAGGTTTCACGTTTGCGTCTCTCGCATTCAGGCAAAGTTTCCAACATTTCTTCCATGCATTGTTGAAGGAAAACTCCGACATTTTCGGCGGGATTTAAATCTGGAGAGCTCCCAATCACCATTCCACCACTTTTTCATGGGCCACTCTTTCAAATTCAACAATTCTGAAACTTTTGAGGCATTAATTGGATTTTTTTAAATCTGGCATTACGACGTTTCGATTGGAAGAATTGAATTCTCGGAGTATGTCTGCGACTAGTTTCTGAGCAATCCCAAAGGCAGCAAATGCGACACGAACCTGAGTTCTAGTGAGCAACATGATTCAAATGTTTTCGCAAAAAAATTAAACTCGAAGAGTCAAACACCCAAGAGTACATTGAAATGACGTTTTGTCACGAGTGATGACATTCGCGGTCCTACCAAGTTCGTCATTACTTCGGGGAAATAAGTGTGATTTATTTTACAAAACCCCTTACGTGAACCATCCAAAGAGATGTTGAATGTAACAACAGCAAGTAAGCAATGCTATTATAGTGTAACATCTATAACAATACTAATAAAAACCCTTGCATAACACAGCCAGTATTATTACAATATATATATATAAAGATGTAGGTCTTTACTTACTTTATGTTGTTTTAGCTTCTATTATTATCATTTATTGATATTTTACTTCCGGAATAAAATATTTGTTCGTTTTTCTGCCCTCATCATCCTAAATCAAGTTTAGAACACCTTTACATGTCCAAACTCTATTCCTTTAAAGATGATTACTGATAACGATTCAACAAGTAATCAGATAGCGATAACTCTGTTATAGAAATGCGCGGCAATCGCTAGGTGTTTAGCCACTAAGTAGTCGAACACCAACAACGATGTCAACTGCCTGGAGGTATCATCACCATGTCGAGCTTCGCGGGTTTCTAGTAGCTCGAGAAACAAGACAAAGTACCATTAACCGAGAAGATTGTCTTGTCACTTGTATCTGATCCTGCTGTTTTACACCCTCAGAGGAAAATCTTCCGATACTCGCCTGGATCGTGAAGACGTTTCACCACAAAATGGATTGAATTCTGTCTTGAAAGGTACAAATATTTATCGAATTTAAAGAGAGAGAGAAGAAAAATGAGTATGCAGATGTATCTGTATTTATACAAGATACTTTTTTTGTTTTTTATTTTAAAGGTTGTCTTATTTGCCGTTTTGTTCCTGAGGTTGCGATTATG